TACTTAAGCTTTCTTAAGGAGTCCCTGCAAATGCTCTGCACAGCATATTTAACAGACTCCAAAATCTTCTCTAGGTATTTCTCTCGTACCCAATTTTTTCCACTACAGTAGCTATTTATATTTCTCCTCCTTCTCAACTATGAGGTCTTCATACCATTAGACTACAGCCCTGTTAACTTCCTTTTCATGCAGCTCACATGACCCTGTTCTCCACCTGCGACTCTCAGCCTTCTACACCCCTGAGAAATTCAGCATGAATGCTTTTTTAAAAAATTGAGAACAGTCTCTGAACTCTGATGAGTAAAATGACCCACTTTAGTATCTATTCCCTTTCCTTTTCAGCTCTTCACAAGAAGGGTACAACATACGTTTGTGCTACCCAAGGACAGCAAAAAACCATACCCAGACCTCAGTCTTAATTCTTTTTCTTCTCCTCCTAAGGCAAGAAACCCTGGGAAGTGCTGCACCACTTGGCCTGGTATAGTCCCATTGATTTCTTCTAAGTAAACCTGGGAAGAAGCATCTCAATGTTAGAATTTATTCTTCCCCATGCCAACTCCCCATCTTCCCCTTGGCCCTCCATAAACACATGAAAAATGATGAGCTAACTGGGTTAAATTGTTGGTGGTTACAGCAAGCATTAATTATCCCCTTTACCAAAATCAATCCAATGAGGGTCTGTGAAATACAGGGTGACAGATACCAACGCTACTACACCGGAAGCAAAACTAGGACTACCTTTTCCAAACCAAACCTAAGCCAACCCTCACTGGGTTTTGGTGAAACTGCTCATCTTCCTGACCCTGTCTTGAAACAGAAAGGCCTAAATGTCCTTTCAGTAAAAGGTGAGGAAAGCAAAAGTACTTCTCATTCTTTTATGATGAGTCTTCAATCATGAGTGGCAGGTTAAGTAGATTCTCAATCCAGTGATTTGGACATGACTAGTAACCTTTAAATAACTTGGTCTTTGAATCACCACTTAGACCAGAAAACAGAAATCAGTTATTCCTTCAAAGGAAGAGCTTCAGAGACTTTTAGACATTTAAGACTCATTGTTCTCAGTTTAAATCTAAGTGTGAATATAAAATAATACTTCCGGAGGCAATTCCACAAGAGACATTTGAACTAAATCATGTCCTTAAATCAAGTGAAATGACTCGAAGAGGGCTGTTTCATTTGTACAACATTTGCTTAAGTTATTTAGTTCTAGGATATTAAGTCAATAAAATATTTCCTAGTATCCTCTAAAAGGGTATCTCTCAATTATAAACTTTATTTTCAGTGGCCTTCAGTTCATTTATTGAGATTCCTTCGAATTAAATTATTTACCATAGGGTCCCAAAGCTCCACAGCATTTTTTTTCAAGTCACAATTATTTATGTCTGGGTTTATGAATTCCTGAGGACAGGGGACATTGTTGGAGGTCTCATCTGTGCTTTAAAGTGCCCACAGTGTGGGAGCTGCCCTTTGAAGGCTGGAGCTCTTCACTTAGCCAGTTCTTCGCCAGAGCTCAGGACAGGAAGGAAGGAGACAAATACAGTGCAAGTGAGAGAAGCCGCTGAGCGTGGGCAGTGGGTGAAGACAGCTGCCGCTGTCTGGCCATCCATGCGTGTAAATTACTCCTATATTTTAAACAGTTGTATAACCAGGGCAAAGTGTTCTCCATGAAATCTGTTTGGCACAAATCTACAGATTGTGAATAGAGGCGAAGGTGGAACCAACAGAGGGCCAGAGCTGGTGGATGGGGACACAGAGAGAGAAATGGGCATAAAATAGGGCAGTGGTTTACAATCCTACACAATCAAAGACAGAATGTGGAGACAAATCTGGATATTGTCTTTGTATATAGAAATAGAATGCATTTTTAAACATTCAGTGCAAACAAAGCATGTTGTTGATATTTTTAAAGCATCTTCATTTTACCCTGTTTTTGATGATCAGGAAAGTTAACTGGAAATTGCTCCTTCGCCAGGAAATAACTAACAGCATTTCAAGCCCAGTTGTAAGAAGCTGGACTCTATCCTCCTTTTAAGATCAGGAAAAACAAAGATCATCTCTTTTATTTTAGGGGGCAAAAGTGGAAGTGGGATAAGCAGAGGTAGAGTGAAGAGTGGTATTGATACCAATGAACAAAATTAGATACAGGAAGGGGAGTTATGACTACACTTGCAAAGAACCCTTGCTCAATTTTTCCTTAAAGATCATGCCATCAGTTTTTAAAGCTTTAGTGTGCACATGAGCCACCCAGGGATGGTGTTGAAGTGTAGACTCCCAGGACCAGCCCCCAGAGAACTGGATTCAACAGGTCTGTGGCAGAAACCTGAATTCTGTATTTAAACACCTACCCCAAATCAACCGTGATTCAAGTGAACCTCGGAAACAGCATGTCTGAGAAACAGCACATCAGCAATGATGAGTTTTTTCCTCTAAAAATGAACAGAGTAAGAGGGGCATGAATAGGAACTAGCAATGGTGAAGATGATCTGGGCATCACATTCTCTACCTCTGGCTTCTCACTGGTCCTCTCCTATCTTAGCACTTCTCCATCTACTTTGCCCAAATCGCAAAATCAGGATTGTTTTGATTTTCGTATTTTTTAAGGTTTTTAATTTTAATTTCATTGTAGTTACATACAGATTTTCATATTTTTTTTGAAGTGGTAAAATCTCTTTTTTTCTAAACATGTCCTGTTTTTCTATCTCCAGGGGATATCAAAAACTTCATTAAGAAGCTTGATAAACTGGGGCACCTGGGTGGCTCAGATGGTTAATCGTCTGCCTTCTGCTCAGGTCATGATCCCAGGGTCTTGGGATCCAGCCCCTCATCAGGCTCCCTACCTGCTCAGTGGGGAGCCTGCTTCTCCCTCTCCTTCTACTGCTCCCTCTGCTGTGCTCTCTTGCTCTCTCTGTCAAATAAATAAATAAAATCTTTTTTAAAAAAAGAAGATAAACTGTATGGGAAAAATGAATGGCTGAAGGGTGCAAACAGGTGGGTAGGATGAACAAAATCAGCAATCATCAGATTACTAATATACAAATCAAATATGTAAAGCAGCAAGCTGAGTAAATACCTTCCATTACCATCATCAACTTCAAAGAAAGGCAAATTCTCACTCTCTGCCTTCTCTGTTGATCATTATGTAGACCCCGGACATTGCTTTGATGAAACAAACAAAAAACTAAACACCTAAACAAAAAACTAAAACTAAAAATGTTTAGTTTTAAAAATTTTTCATAGATCATAGAGGCCATCTAAGAAGATATTACTTAGTCCTGGCTACTACTCAGTAAATTGGTTGCTCAGGATAACTCAGCTAGTCAGTGGCAGGTGGCTCTAGAGTCAGTTTTTTCTGACTTGATTGTCATGACCACACTTGTAGGTCATGAAATCAATGTCCTCGGTCTTAACTATCATTTTTAGAAAAATGAAAGATTAAATAGAAAATACCAGAGGGGCTAAAGTTGGGATAACACTGTTGTATTCCACTATGTGGCCTTAAAAAGAGACTTGAGGGCTGCCTGGGTGGCTCAGTCAGTTAAGCATCTGCCTTTGGCTCAGATCATGATCCCAGGGTCCTGGATCAAGCCCCACACAGCAGGCTCCCTCTCCCTCTGCCTCTCCCCTGGCTCATGCTCTCTCCCTCTCTCTCAAATAAATAAAATCTTAAAAGAGAGAGAGATTTGAAAGAGGGAGCATCTCAGCTGAATCCAAGTCTATTTCAACTTTATTGAGACTTAAGAGAATTCCATACTCGCTACCAGATTTTTAAGGCAGTATCATCCTCAGTATTTTTACAAGTAAAAAAAAAAAATATGTGATAGTCTGAGAATGTGAAAATTCTTACTTGGGAAGCAAATGCCATAACCAAGCCAATGGACATCTCAATATTCATTTGCGTTACGCCCTAGTTTGAATTGCAGCTGAAATGAATAAGCAGGAAAGTCAAACAATGAAGACTTCAGTTTATCAATTTAAAATTAGAGAGAGGAGGAGGAGAAAGAGAAGAAGGAAGGAGAAAGAGAGGGAAGCACCTAGAAGTCCAACAGTGGGGAATGCTTAAGTAAATTATGCCATCACCTTCTGTGTGACTCACATGGTTTCTGGCTGGGTCATCCATTGATCTGGAGTTATCCCTGGAAGGGTTTTCTTAATCTTCACCTGGAATGTGCTAACCTAATCTGGATCCCAAAGACGGCAAGATAGCAGGGGTCCAGAGCATTCTGAAAAGGTGTAACTGGTGATAGGAAGTTCTTTTGATGACAAACAATTGAAGTTTCATTATGTCGAGGAACTTTGAGGAAGTCCTCAAAATCCACTTATTAAAAATATATTTCTTATTATAGACACACCTACTTTCTAGAATAAAAACCAAAGCCATGTGGAGCTGTCATCATATTTTGTATATATTGTAGAATTATATCAAGTTATGTCAAGATGTTCCCTCATCTTGTAAAAAGGTTTTTATCGGAGGGGGACACCTGATGGCAGAATTTAAGGTGTCTGGATCCTGAAGATAAAACTGACTGTCTGAAATCCTTACGGTAATTTACTTTACACGTCTGAAGTTGGTTTGTTTTAAACCTTTGTTTTTAAAAAATATGAGATGTTGGGGGCACCTGTGTGGCTCAGTCAGTTAAGTGTCTGCCTTCCGCTCAGGTCATGATCTCAGGGTCCTGGGATCAAGCTCCAGGTAGGGCTCCCTGCTCAGCGGGGACTCTGCTTCTCCCTCTCCCTCTGCCTGCCACTCTGCCTACTTGTGCTCTCTTTCTCTCTGTCAAGTAAATAAATAAATTTTTAAAATAGAGGATGGTGTTTCCTTTAATCCTTGAAGCTTTTCTTTTTAAAAGTTGATTTACAAGAAACCGGAATGGTGAGTTTCACTTTCGGTTTCCTGAATTTTTCTTCCAAGGGCAGCGAGGAGGGAAGTAACTGAACCCCGCTGCGGGGCTGACCCGGGCGGAGCGGGCAGTGGGCGGGGACGTCGGCCCCTCCCGCCGCCGGCTCCTTAGAGTGTCCCCGGGCCGCTGCCCTGGCAGCCTGCGTACAGCGTGCCGAGCCTCCGCGCCCGCCGCCAGTCCCCCCGCCAGCAGGTAGGGAGCGTCCTTCCCTCGAGAGGTGCCTGTGGCCACCTTGGGTGGCACTTTAAAAAGCAGCTGGTCTCAGACGACCTTTTCTTTGGGATGGAGAGACGAGAAGGGCCAGGGAAAGCGCGATGGTTTCACGCGGCAGTAGAGCCGGTACCTGTGTAGGCTATAATAGGAACAGCTGAGACGTTTGACCTTTCTTGGGGGGCGGGGGGGGATTCGGTTTTGCTTAATATCAGTTTTGTAAGTATGTGTTTCTGCACGTTCATGAAGGTGGTCCTGAGGTATGCAGCTGGGTCTAGAGGGAATTCCTAGGCTGGAGGTCGAGCACCCGGGTCCTAGTTCACCCTTAGCTGCTCTCTAGCAGTACGCTGAGTAAATCATCACGCCTGCGGCGTCTCCTAAGGCTCCCTCCTACTGTAAGTAAGAGCCAGGACACCCGAACCCTAGCTCTTTTTGCTTTATCCCTCTGAGGACCTACAGGAGTCCTGATGGAGAAAGACCATGGTCTTTTTCTTATAATACAGGTAGCGTTTCAAGTATCACTGTTTCACTTCGTTTGCACCTAAAAAAATACCTTGTGTGGTTTTTCTATGGATTATTTTGTTTTTTTAAGATTTTATTTATTTGAGAGAGAGGGGGAAAGCACAGAGGGAGAGGGAGAGGGAGAAGCAGACTCTCCACTGAGCAGAGAGTCCGATGTGGGACTCCATCCCAGGACCCTGAGATCATGACCTGAGCCGAAGGCAGACGCTTAACCAACCAACTGAGCCACCCAGGCGCCCCTCTATGGATTAAATAGTCTTCTAAAATGTGTATATTTTTTTTAATGGCTGCATTCCATGGTACAAAATTAATACCCCATGCTGGACATAAAGATTATTTACAGTGGTTAAGTGTCTTAGCCATTTAGTGAACATCATTGCTTGTAAATCTCTGGGACATTACTGATTTCCTTCAGATAAACTCTTTTAAGTTTAACTACTTAGGCAAAGAGGGAATATTTTAAAAGGCCTTTTGGTGCAAATTGGAAATCACCTTCAAGGAAAAGCCAGTTTACATTGGCAGTTGCCGGCAGTTTTTAAGAACTATGATAGTCTAAAGAAAAAAAAATCAGCCTTTTTCAGTGGAATAGAGTAGGCAGAGGTTACAGGAAAGTAGTTAGAGTGTAGTCTTAAAAGAAGCCACTGAGATAGTGCAGGGATTTGAAGCCACCTGGGAAACATGCAAGAATGTCTCAGGGTGACTGAGGAGGGGAAGGAGTTTGGCACAGGTTCTAGTTGGGTTTAATAGATCAACTCTCTTGATCTATTAATGGGGTGGGTTTTCATCTTGGAGATACATTGTTGAACTCTAGGAATTTTTTTAAATCAAATTATAGTTTATATACGTCAAATAAAAGTCAAAGGAGACCCTAAACCAACAGCTATCAAGACACTCCTTGTTCCTACTTTTGAGAAAGGAAGCTTGAATTCTTTTCCTGTCTTTACCTCCTACGCTTGCTACCCTTGGGAGATAGAGAAGTACTACCAGTTGCATAGTGTTATAATGAGTTCCCCAGGGACAAACCTGCTTCTCCATCCTGAATGAACCATCATTTCTTCCCTAGTTCACGTTTCCCTGCTCTTTGAATGCTCTTGCCTGGGAATCCAGGTATACCATTATATAGTTTCTGACTTGAAGATGTCAGTGTTCTCTTAGACCAACTGCCCTGATGTGGGGTTTAGGGATCAAAGACCACCGTTATTCACATAGTCTCTCTTCTTTTTGTCCCCACACTAATGACAGCTGTACTCCAAGGGAAGGAAACCTTGGGAAAAGGTGGTAGCCTGAGGAATTAGGTAAATACCAGGTCTAACCCATCAGCTTCCAGTAAACTTTATTACCCCTAAATTTTTAACCAAACGCCGTAAACATTGGCAAAACTGGTTTTAACCTATGAATGGATTTTATTTCTCTTTGTTTTATTCAGCAGTTCTTTGCTTGGGTATCTTAAGGGGTATCTTACGTTTTCTTTTGAGCAATAAATATATTTCTGTTTATTATATTACAGTATTTTGTAATTGTTGTGTAAGCAACTTTTGCCCAAGGAAAGGCCAGGGAGATAGCTTCTGCATCCTCATCTTCAACAGTCTTCATGTTCTCACGGGCCTGTGTGAGAAGAGAGAGAAAGGAGAGAAATAGGAATCATGCACCTAACACTAACAAGAGAATGATGACTTATTTTACTTTATGGTTTTTTATTTTTACCCATATATGTATACATGAACATGAAGGGTTCATACAGATTGATAAGAAACTAATAAGATAAACATGCCAAAAAATGATGAAATAATTCACAAAAGAACCGAAATAACTAACAAACCCATGAAAAATTCAAATTATAACTTTTCAATAATCAAATTAGAAAAAATATTTTTAAAACCATACCCAGTAAAGATACAATGTAACTGGTACCAATTATCCACGTGTATCAGGAACCAGGAAGATGTTCTTTCTCCTTGATCAACAATTCCACTTGCGGAAATCTGTCCTTAGGGCCTGGCCTGCAGCCTGGCACACAGTAGGCACTTACCGAATATTTGCTGAATACACAAGTATGTATGATATTTTTAAAACTGGAAACAATCTTAAACCTAACAATAGGGGAACTAAACATTATGGGAACACTAAAATACTTAGGAATATCATTCAGTAAAATGGAAAACATTGTAACAGTCAATGAAAAGATGAGTGTGAAATGTATGAGAAGGTTATAATTGTTTTTACAAAGATTCACAGGGGGAAAGACTAGAAGAAAAATGTATACTGGAATGCTCACAGTGGTTACAAGTTTTCTCAGCCTTGGCACTGTTGACACCTAGGCCTAGACAAATCTCTGCTGTGGTGGCTGTCCTACACATTGTAGGATGGTTAGCAGCAACATGACCTTTACCCACTAGAAAGTAGAAATCCTCGCTCCCACCCCACTGCATTTTGAGAACCAAAACTATTTCTAGGCATTAGCAAATGCTTCCTGGGTTAAAGTAATGGAATAGTGGGTGATTTTTCCCCTTCTTTTCTCATTTTCTATATTGTGTTTCTATTACTTAAATAATGAAGAAAAACATAAAAATAAACAAATATCATTCTACCTCAACTCTGATGTGTGAGTTTCTAGGGTTCTTTCCATTCTACCACTCTGTCTCCCAAACATTCTGCAGCTTAGCAAGGTGAAATGGTTCACTAAATTTGTTTTTTTATTTTTTTCTACTAAGAGGAAAATGTATCTATTTGAAAATGTGGACTCAGAAAAAGCAACAAAGAAATCATTAACAATCTCCTCTCCCTTTTTTTTCCCCTCCCATCCTTTCTTCCTTTTAAAAATTATTTAAAAAATGGGGCATCTGGGTGGCTCTGTCAGTTTAGCATCAGACTCTTGGTTTAGGCTCAGGTCATGATCTCAGGGTCATGGGATCGAGCTTCTTTTGGGGCTCCTCGCTCAGCATGGAGGCTGCTTGGGATTCTCTCTTTCCATCTCCCTCTGCCTCTCTCCCTGCTCTCTCTCTCTCATAAATAAATAAATCTTTAAAAAAGTATAAAAAAGTGAAAACCTGCTTATCATCCCTCTGATTTCACTCCTAGAGATAATCACTATCAGCATATTGGTATGGATTTTTCTGGACATTTCCTATGTCTAAACACACAGATTTTTCTTCCTTTGTTTTTAAACTAAAGTAGGTTTCTACATGTACAGCTCTGCAACTTACTTTCTACATCTTTGCAAAATCAATACAATTCTGTCCTTAGTGGTATTACATTGTAGGACTATAACAACATTTATTTAACTAGGCTATCTGGAATATTCCCAGTTTGTGGCTAGAATTATCAATGTCATCACTTCACATGTATTGTTTATATATATGTTTTTGTTTTTGTAGGATACATTTCTAGGAGGGGAAGTGAAAGCTCATATATCATATACATTTAAAAATTTAGTGGAGATTGTCAAATTGCCTTCCAAAAAAGGTTATATAACTTCACATTCCTACCATTCCTACCTACCCCCCAGTGAGAAAACCCAGTTGTTCATATCTTTACAAACACTAGGAATCTTTATAATTTTGGTAAGCTAATAAGTGAAAAATAGTACCTAATGTTTTAAACTTATACTTTTTTAAAAATTGAGATTGAGCATCCTTTCTGATGTGTAGATGTTGTTTGTATTTCTTATTCTCTGAACTGTATGCTAGAACCTTTTGCTCAATTTTCTGTTGGGTTGTGTGTGGTTTTCTTACTGATTTTTTAGGAGCTATTTATATATTAGGAACATAAATCTTCCGTCTTATATATGTGTAGCATAGATTAATAGATCATTGGTGATTTTCTATATATGTATACAAGAGGTCAAAGAGACCTTAAGAGGGAAAACGGACTTCTCAAAGTGTGTAAATATATGTATAACACAAGAGGGAAATGTGTTAATAAAGAAACAAACTGAGGGTTCTTGGGGGAGTGGGGGCGGTGGGTTAGCTTGGTGATGGGTATTAAAGAGGGCATGTATAGCATGGAGCACTGGGTGTTATACGCAAACAATGAATCATGGAAAACTACATCAAAAACTAATGATGTAATGTATGGTGATTAACATAACATAATAAAATTAAAAAAAAAGAAAATAAACAAATTTGCTGAAATGCAGTATAAATCTTTATTTATTCCCCTGCTTGAATATAAGGTCCAAAATGAGAGTGATTTTTCTTTCTTGTTCACTGCTGTATTCCTAGTACCTAAAAGTGCCTGGGACAGAAGAGGTGCTCAATCAATGTTTGCTGAAGTAAAGAATTGGTAGAATTTCAAGCAGAATGACAAAATGAAGAATAGAATCTAGGCAGATACCCCTAAAAGAGTGGCTGTAAGTAGTCATTCACACCTTAGTCTGAATTGGTCAAATTAAACTGTTTCTCCTTCTCACTCCTGCTACTAGTGGAATCAGTTTATTGAGAGAATAGGATTTATAACTTGGAGTAAGCCAAGGACAGAAGAGTAGATTTCTGAAAGACGGCACCTGCGGGAAAAGGGGCATAGCTGGGATGGTGACACGGGAGGCCTGAGTAGTTAAGGGTAGGATGAAAATATTCAGAGGCAAGGGTGGAATAAAAAGCATTAAGAGGTGGGAGATATGAAGTCAGGTTGTCCTTGCTTTGAGATTTTGCACAGTGCAGGTTTGGATTTCTAGATATGTTCCACTGCAGAAAAAACATGAAATAGTTGAGAGGATTTTAGTGCGATATTTTCTTCTTGGCCTCTTTCGAGGGTTCATTATAAGTTTTTTTTCAGGCCTTGTAATTACATTTAAAGATTCTCATCATAGTAACTTTTTTCCGCTTGGCTTTATAGGACTGTGGGTTATAAGTAAAGGTATTAAACTTCTAAATTCCATGCTGCATTTCCACACTAACCAATCAGTCATTTTTCTGGTTATCAGAAGACTATTTCATTTAGAACTGCCAAGACCCATAATGTCTGGATGTTCAATTATTGAATAAAGCATTTTTCTTTTTGCATTTTCCATAATTAGGTCACTCGAGAAAGATGAAGATATTTAGCCTCTTTGCATTCATGGCCTACTGCCATTTGCTGAAAGGTAAGATACCAGGGCCTTTCCTTAGGTTCTATATTTTAAAATATTTTAACTGTAAGTTAAAAACTACAATAATTACTTAAGATGGATGTAAGTTTTTTTGTAGAGAAAATACTCTGTTTTTCCTTCTGTATCTCATAAACCCATTTCATTGGACGAAGATATAGGGAATATGGTTAAACTTAAAAGAAAGAAAATTAACCCATTATCTACTTGTCCATTACCTGTTATCCATTTCCCAGGGATAATTACTGAAACTATCTGTAAATTTTTTGAGGAGTTTCCCATCTTCTGAAAATTGGTCGTCTTTCTCTTCAGCATTTATGATCACAGTTTCCAAGGACCTGTATGTGGTGGAGTACGGCGGCAATGTGACCATGGAGTGCAAATTCCCGATAGAAAAACAGTTAAACCTGCTTGCACTAATTGTTTACTGGGAAATGGAGGATAAGAAAATCATTCAGTTTGTGAACGGGAAGGAAGACCTGCAAGTTCAGCACAGCAGCTACAGCCAGAGGGCCCAGCTGCTGAAGGACCAGCTCTTCTTGGGGAAGGCCGCGCTTCAGATCACAGACGTGAAGTTGCAGGATGCTGGGGTTTACTGCTGCTTGATCGGCTATGGCGGTGCTGACTACAAGCGGATTACTTTGAAAGTTCATGGTAAGAATACATACAGGGGAAGAGGCCCAGTCTTTATGAAAACCATAACCCAGTGCTGAGCACTTTTCCTTCTTGGAAGTCCACCTTGCTCTCCACGGTGGCAATCTGCACATTCATTCATTCATACGCCCCTCCAATGAGCATTTCTCAAACACTTCCTCTTTGGCAGTCCCTGGAGATCCAGAGCCGGACATGGTAGGACCATATTCCACAGTATGTTCGCTTCTGCTAAAAATAAATTCTTAGTCTTTACTTTTTTATTCTAATGAAAGTGATACAGGTACTTGCAAATCATTCAGACAGTATGGAAGGGAATAATCTGAATTACAAAAGTGTCCTTCCCCCTTCACTGCCGCCTTCCATGGCATGTCAAGTTAGTAGCCACTGTTTGTGTGTCCCTCCAGGAATTTTTTCATTCAACTATAATTTTTAAAAAATTTTATTAAGCCTGCCATCATTTTTCTTCTTTTATACCTCTCTATGTCAAATCCAAATTAATATAGTAAAAACAAACCCCACTGTGAGGTTCACATTCAAAAAGGCTTGAAGTCAATCTATAAAGGCAAAAAATAGTATCAAACATAAAGGAAACTGTTCTTTAGAGACAGTATAAGCTATGCTCACTGGGCATATATTCATCTTGAGAATCTACACTGCTGTCATCTTGGAGTTGTAGAGGAACTGTGAGTATCAAATTCCCAGGTACTGACCCACAAATATGTCATCAGGTTACCTGCGTTCAAAGTTTTGTGTTGCTACTAGATAAGAAAAGGAAAACACCTTAGCTGACCCCCTCTACTTTCACTGTTAAGATTCACAGAATTGAGAGATGAAAGGATCCCAAGTAAGAGCAGCTAATCCAAACTCCTGAAGAACAGAAATCCCCCCTAAGGGATCTTCTGCTCACATTCTTTCCACAATGACACCCGGTCACTTGGACCTCCCTTCCATAGCCTTTTGAAATTATTGTCTGAAACTGAGCTGATATCTACCCTCTCTAGTCATAGTTTCGAGATTATCTGCCTGCTTCTTTTGTTTACATGATGACCTTTGAATTTGTGATCAGAATCCAGTCATCACTCCTTGTTCTTTCCATTCTGGCTTAACTACCTTCAATCTGAAGATCAATATTACAAGTAGAAGAAGTTTACATTTATCATAAAGGGATACATGATCATTGTAAACTCAGTCAAAATTTTAGAGCAACTGGGAGAAATGCATCTATTTTAATGGCACATTACTGGGTTTCTGATTCTGGATCAATTTATGCTACTGTGGTCAAGAAGGTGTCACTTGTATTGGGAAGTAGATTTAATTTCCATTATATTTTGCCGTATACTTCTCCAGAACAGTGATATTTATGAAAGCAAGCTGGTGGGATCCCAATTTGGGATTTTCAGCTTTTCTTCAGCCATCAGCAAATATCAGGCACTGACTGTGTTTCATGACCTTAAAGAAATTATCAACACTTAGCCCCATGAGTGACCAGCATTGCTGGATCCGGGCTGGGGAGGAAGAACGTAAGCCTGGCAGTCAGGTGAAAGGAAGTATAGAGTGTAAGTTCCTGCTTCTAGAAGAGAGGGTCTCTCATCAGCCCTCAGGGAGTATGCGAAGGGTAGGACAGCTGTCCTGTAACAAGGAAGGGTGTTCCTTCAGGTCCTTTGGGGTCTGTAATGTCCACTGCGGATCTGTGATGTCCTTTGTTGTGGCTCAACACAGTAGGAAACATTTGGGCACTGAGGGTTTTTCCAAGAAGGGGTTCCTGATAGAGCAAAGCAGATGACCAGCCAGATTTGAGGATCTGATTTGTTTTGACCATTTCGTTTTATATTATAAATTACTAAATTGGCATCCTAGTCCCAGTCCGTTTTGTGGTCATTTGCACACAGTGGTCTTGGGTGTTGAGTTGAGCTACACTGAGAGCAAGCCAGCCACCAAGCTTCACTTGCATTGAGGCGGTGTCACCAATGGAAATAGTCCTCTTGCATGAGCTTCACACTCAAGGAAGTACAATTCCTGAGTCACCTCTCTATGCAAATGATTTCACAGTAACACTTCTCTTCCCATCACGGCAAACATGTGGTGGCACAGCTTCCCCACAGGGAGTTTACTAACCATGGGATTTTATAGGTGAAGCATTTCAAAACTGAAATGTGTTCAGAGTTTAGTTTTGGATTAACTCAATTATTATTATCACTGTGGGTATTATTGCACCTTTCGTGTTTATCAGTTTAAATATCATACTCTCAGGCATCTGACTTCCAATTGAGAATGCTGTTTTTCCTTAATCATCGAACCTAATAGTGAGGAAAATGAAATACCCATTTATACTTTAAAGACCTTAAATGGGATTAGGCAACTGAAAGAACGAAGTATTGCATAGCTCTCCTGATAAAGCTAATTTGTTCATATGAACCCAGGATTAACTGCCATCATTCTCCACTGACACCGTCTCTCCCTGATTCACCAGCCAGCCTCTAGATTTTTTTCTGTTGTATTCTTTCCCATCTAATGAATCATGTAACCTGTTCATCCCCATCTAACACATATAAATGCACCTGTTTTATTATCGCTCTCCTCTTTCTTGAATATACACTCCACAAAGGCAGAGATTTTGGTCTGTTCTATTCACCGCTCTATCCCTAGGACTTGGCATACAGGAGGAGTTTGACAGAGCACACAAAAATTTTTGTTGAATGAATGAATGAATGAAATAGTTCCTCAAATAGGATAGGGTAAAAATTTTGAAACATGAACAGGTTTGAATCTGTGAAAACTTATTTTGAAGTCTGTTCATGAGGAATTGCCAGTACTTCCTGAAGACTATTACATGAGTACACTTAAGTGGTAGTAGTAAGAAGAGGAGGGGCAGCTCTAGTAGCAATCATAGTAGTAATTAACACTTACGTAGTACTTATTATGTGCCAGGCCCTGTCCTAAGCATTTGGCCTATACTAACTCATTTAATCCTCAATGACTCTATGGGGCAGGGGCTTCATTTCTCTAAGATGCATGTTTTCACATTTTACTGTCTCTGTATCTAAGTGTGTCTTTCAATAGATGGCATCTTAGATTCAATGATGTGTGTGGTGTTATTCTCATTTTATGAAGGATTAAATTGAGGCCCAAAGAAATTAAGTAATTTACCCAAGTTCACTCAGCCATTAAGTGGTAAAGCCAGGTTCTGAACTCAGGTAATCTAGTTCTGAAGTCTGTGCCCGTAACAACCAGGTTTTACTCCCAGCATTTATACCTCCAGAGTGTGTATGAAGTTGTATATTGACTTTAAAACTACAGTGAGCTCTTCTTAGTCTTGATGTGACCATTGGATTAGCACATGTGTAACCTGCTCCATCAGTAAAGCATGTTAGCTAATACGTGTGTATTTGTGTGTGTGTAGTTAGAAGGGATATACTTGTGCTACTGTAAAGGATATAGCATAAGAAATTGACATTTTTAAAAGGTAAAAGAAGTTGAACATCACTAACTTCGTATGGTTCAAACTAATGCATTGTACATTCTATAAATGTATAAAATAGAAATTTTTAGAGGTAGAAATAAAACTTTAATCATATTTTAATGCCTTGTTAATTATGATGATTCACTATCATTAGCTAATACTTCAAGGTGAAATTCATTGTTAACACAGGTGGATGGTCTTGACAATCTTGAGTTTTCGGTTTGGTTTTTTGTTTTTAGTTTCAGGTGTACAGTATAGGGATTCAGCACTTCACACAGCAGCCAGTGCTCCTCACAAGTGCCTTTCTGAATCCCCAGTGCCTCTTCAGCCCACCCTCCCACCCACCCCCCTCTGGTAACCATCAGTTTGTTCTCTACAGTGAAGAGTCTGTTGCTTCATTTACCTCTCTCTCTCTTTTTTTCCCCATGCTTATTTGTTTTGTTTCTTAAATTCCACATATGAGTGAAATCATATGGTTTTTGTCTTTCTGACTATTTCACTTAGTATTGTACTCTCTAGCTCCATCCACATCATTGCAAATAAAAAAGATTTCATTCTTTTTTATGACTGAGTAATATTTCCTGTGTGTGTGTGTGTGTGTGTGTGTGTGTGTGTTTATATGCACATACATACCACGTTTTCTTTATCCATTCATCAGTCAATGGACAAATGGGCTATTTCCATAATTTGGCTATTGTAGGAAAACAGTATGGAGGTTGCTCAAAAAGTTAAAATAGAACTACCCTGTGATCCAGCACTTGCCCTACTAGGCATTTATCCAAACGATACAGAAATACTGAGTCAAAGGGTTACATGCACCACAGTGTCTATAGCAGCATTATCTACAATCTTGAGGGTTTTTAAACCAACACCTTATCAGGTCCAATTAGGTACTTATTGTTTTAACTTCATAAAGTGGTGGTAAAAAAAAAATTGTGCCTCCTGCCACTTCCTTGTGGTTTGTGCTTGAAGTGTTAGTATTCCATCCTCAGTTTTGTTGTGGGAAAATTTTTAATTGGTGGTTCATTTTGTAAGCAGGTTAGTCTAGTTAAAATTAAATAAGAGAATCTGGAAATCTGTAATAAGCCCAAAGGAGTCACTGTTCTCCTTTGGTGTTATAAAATTTCCCTTTTCCCCTAAGACCCTCATATGGCATACAAAGTGAGGCCCATTGTCAATTCGTAAAGTTTATTAAGCTTAGATTATTTCTTAATTATTATGATAAAAATATATAAGTGGAAGTTCTAATATTTTCTTCCAGTATCCCAACACATGTGCCCTACTTTAGAGACTAGAATAGTGGATATCTAATCAATGAGTAGAACTATTCCACTCATTTATTGGGCCCTGAGAAGTATACCACATTTATACACATGCTTAGGCATGAAGCAACATTCTCCTTTATTATTCCGTTAAAAATTATAAGAGTAAAAAAGCAAACATTTTACCTTTAATACTTTACCATTATCTGTGATTTTAGTCTTGAAAACTAAATTACCCAGAAATCAAGCTCTGTGCTATGTGAACCAGACACTGTTACGGTAATACTCTTTCAGGAAGTATAATCAGTGTATTTATTTTTTTAAAGGATTCTTAAATATAACACATACAAGGTTGAGGACTCAAGTACTCACATCGTTATTTCAGACTTGTTTGATTCTTAGTGTTTTGTATTAAATCTCTGTGAATATATCTTACCACAAAGCCATTGTTAAACCTTTTGTAAAGGAATGGAGAGTCAAGGCTCTGGGTGGAACACTGGTGGTTACACTAAAGTAGTAGGAGTAAAACAAAGATTATACCAATAGAATAATGACACGTTACCATGCTTGTCATGAATAAACATAAATAAAGATCTTAGGGGAGGTAAATGCATTAAATAATCTACTAAAATAGTACACATGGTATCTTAATCCTAAAAGGTCCCAAACCAATGAGCTAAATTTTAATCGATGATCTAAAATTTGAACTTTCTTTGAGTATAATAATTATTTAAATGACTTATTCAAATAGCCAGCATAAAAAAGTTCAAAAAATAAGTATCATAATGTGGTATTCTGGATGAGATCCTAGAATAGAAAAAGGACATTAGGGAAAAAAGTGAAATGGAACGAAATGTGAAGTTCAGCTAATAGTAATGTGCTAACATTGGTTCCATAGTTATGACAAATGCACCATGGTAATATAAGATGTTAACAGTAGGGGGGAACTGGGTGATAGGTATGGGGGGACTTTCGACTATCTTTGCCATTTTTCTGTAAATCTAAAACTATTTTTTTAAAAGATTTTATTTATATGGGAGAGAGAGAACGAGAGATAGAGAGCACGAGAGGGAGGAGGGTCAGAGGGAGAAGCAGACTCCCTGCTGAGCAGGGAGCCCAATGTGGGACTCGATCCTGGGACTCCAGAATCATGACCCGAGCCGAAGGCAGTCGCTTAACCAACTGAGCCACCCAGGCACCCCGAAAACTATTTTGAAGTAAAAAATAAATTCAAACTTTAAAAAGTGTTATCCAGGAGCACATACCAGTTTTTATAATGATACCGTATTCTTTTCATACTTAATTTCTGATCATTGACTCACAGTTGGAAAAGTGAATGGCACATGAAAATCAGATTTTCTGTTTATTAAATAAAGTCTAAGAAAACCGTGCTGGGCAGCTGGAGAGGTTCATGTTACGAAGACAGCATTACAACAACAAAAAGAAAATATCCAGGAATAAATTTAAGAAGAAATGGGTTGGCCCTATGCAAAAACTATAAAGCATTATGAGAAAGATACAAAGACTTGATTAAATGGACAGACATATTTTATATTTGGATAGAAAGACTATTGGTTTAAAGATGACAGTTCTCTTTAATCTGTGCATTTACTTGGAGCCCAATAAAAATAGCAATATGATTTTAGGTAGTTGTTCCTTTGAGCTCAAACGTAGCCCAACTATGAATGGGCGAGTTGGAGCAGAGCTAACGGGTTCCTCACTGCTGAGACATCTGAACATCAAGCTTATTTCTCTGAGAACCCGCCTGAATTGATACTTTTCCTAAGGTAGACAACACCAAGCCACGTATCTAGTTTTGTCCTAAGTGAAAGCCCTGACTTCTTTTTGCTCATGACCTAGCCCCATACCGCAAAATCAACCAAAGAATTTCTGTGGATCCTGTCACCTCTGAACACGAACTAATGTGTCAGGCTGAGGGTTACCCTGAGGCTGAAGTCATCTGGACAAGCAGTGACCATCGAGTACTGAGTGGCAAAACCACCATCACTAATTCCAACAGGGAGGAGAAGCTTTTCAATGTGACCAGCACACTCAGAGTCAACACAACAGCTTACGAGATTTTCTACTGCACTTTTCGAAGATCAGGTCCTGAGGGAAACAGAAACAATACCGCTAAGTTGGTCATTCCAGGTAATAATCTGAATGTCTCTATTCAAATGTGCCTACTGCTGTCCTATGGCCTCTAGCATGGTGCCTGTTCATTGTAGGCATCCATCATTCATTGAATAAGTGAATGCATGTATAACACTATACAAAATGCTTCTTCCTCTCCATCCAAGTCCATATTGCTGTTTAATAAACATTCAGCAAATATTTATTGAGTATGCCCTATGTGCCAGGCAGCAGGGGCTCATAGAAGAGTAAGACACTGTTCACACTCTCCAGGAAACAGATAAGAAACAGATAAGGCAATCCCATCCCATGTAGGAGATGGTCTGAGGAAGACTCAGCTCAGGCAGTGTTTCAGGAATCCAGATCCCAGCACATCAGAGCTGCTCCTCTCTTTCCAGGGTTTCTGTGGTAACAAGCAAATGGAACGTACCCCATCTGTCCACCCGACCCCCAAGATAGTCTATGACATTTCAACACAAAGCGGTCTATCTGCTTAGTGTGTAAGACATAAGGTTTTGGTCCCTGCCTAAGCTCCTCAACTTCTGTGTGCTTCACTTTCCCTAGTTATAACAGTTATAAACTATCGGGCAAGGTTACCATAGGGGCGAATGAGCTACAGCATGTGAAAATGATTTGAGGCTCTTGCCTGCACAGACTCAATTATTTTTTTTCTTACTACCCTACAGGAGTGGGTACAGTGGGCTGCATAGTCTGATGAGAGGCTGAGACCTTTAGAGAAAGTGAGGCAGGAGAGCATGATGTTAACATAAACCCAGAGGTGTTCTGAGAGGCACTTCTCAATGCCCCCTCTTCTAGTAGATGTTGCCAGTATAGCTTCAGCTACTTCAGAAAAAACAACTAAGAACTCGGGTGGAAAAGTCAACCAATAGGAAAAGGCAATACAGGATGGTCCCATGAATGAAAAGAGTAAAAAAAAAAAAAAAAAAAGTCGAGAAACTTAAAAAGATGCTCTTACTGGGTTATGAGTCACTTTGGTAGCTAGGGCGGCATTCATGGGTTCCTGCCATTTAAAAGTTGCTTTATGACAACCTATCTGTGGGAAGACTTAGGGTAATTCACCTAACTGCTTGGGGTCTGTTTCCTCATCTATCACCTCGGATTTTTTTTTAACATCTTGCATGCCTAAACTGAACTTATTTTGAGATTGAAGTAAAATAGATATAAACAGGCTTTGTAAACTGTAAGCTACTAGAGGAAGGCTGACCACTGTTGTGGCTTTAAAGCTTGAACGATGTCGTCAGGGATCGTGACCGATGGAGGGAGGAGGGAGTTAGCAGTCTCTGAGCATCGTGTGCCAGGGGACCCCTTTTCTTCCTTCATGGAACCACAGACAGATTGGTAAGAAGTACCTAGGATTAGACGTCCTGAGATGTTCAAACTGAGAAAGAAAAGATAGCAAGCGGTGGCCCTGAATCATGGCCACATACACTAGGAGGTGGAAGCTCTTGGGCAGTGCCAGTTGGCCTTCCTGTCCCATCTTTACCACGTACAACAGGCCGCTAGCTTCTAGATTAAAGAAGGCAAGAGAGGTCACCGAGCCTCCCTTTTAGGACTGAGCAGCAACTACCTGTGTGTGATAAGCACTTCACAAATATTGGCCTCCCAATAAATTTATTATCATTTCCATTTTGTAAGCAGGTGAAAGGATTTGCCTGAGATCTCAAAGCTAGTGAGTGGCAGCAGAATGTAACCCCAGCCCATCTGTCCAAAGCCTGGGCTGCTTCCCCTTTTCTGGGCTGCTCCCGTTTTCCTGCCAGCATCCCACCATTCCAGCCACTCACTGTAACCCAAAGCTAACCGAAATTCAACTTCAAGGATGATTATTCTCTTGACCCCTTCCCATCAAAATTTCATCTTTAGTTTCTTTTTGTTTTCTTTTGTTTTTCAGAACCCCTTCCAGTTCCACCAAATGAGAGGACTCACTTCGTGGTTCTGGGAGCTGTCCTGGTGTTTCTTGCTGTAACCCTAGCAGTCATCTGTCTAAAGAGAAATGGTATCTGCTTTATTGCAATGGTCTCCACTGGGCATATGGGGCAATGTAACGGGGCTGCTACTGTTCTCACGGCAGCACTTACAGGCAGAGCCAGGGATGCTCAGCCTTCTGTAATGTGCGGCTCAGTCCCACGTAACAGGGAACTCTCCTCCCCAGAATGCTAGTGGTGGCCCAATCAGGAAACACAGATTTATAAAATGCTGCCTTCCTATTAGCATTCTCTTCTAGGGCCAACTTTCAATTATGCAAAGTGGGTTTCAGCTATGCTACCATGTGAAACTGTGTCTCATCTCTTACTCCAGTCGTGTTCGTTTCATTGTCCCGCAGCATAGCTTATATTGGAAGGTGGCAGTGAACACTTGTAGGAGCATTTCCAAGGGGGTGACAGTTGGATCATAGCTGCAGGGAAACCTGATTTGCCTTTGCAAGGTGGCACAAAGACATTCCACTATTCAATAGCAATGACAGCAAAGCCCAGCAGGATTGCTGGGTGAAGATCATGTGTTGGGGGGTGAGAGGTGGGAGAATGGGTATGTACAGAGGGTGAAGAAGACCAAGCTCCGTACAGTTTCTTTCCATCATGCAAATAACCACAGACTTAGAGTAAGGGACAAAAAGCTAAAATGCCTGTCAGCTTCAGTTGAATTTGAGTCTTGCATTAGTTGCACTGTTATATTGAGCTGGTTTCTGGGCACCCTAAGGAATAAAAATAGTTTTTTTCTGTAGAGCGGTGATGGTTTTACCATAGAGTATTTTACAAGATTTCTGGCTGAGGGTGCTAAATAGTTTTCAAAGTAATTTCCATGTGTTTATTTCTCTATTTGCCCATGGGAACAATTAAAACACAGGAAAATGCATCTATTCAAATAATTTCCTCCCCTTTTAAGATGATTCAAAGTAGACATTTCCCCCAGTACTTTGAGAGTATAGCAGGGGATCCAGTGATGATCTGTGTGTAGAGTTATCTGAGGTCAAATAGGGAAGTGGAAGATGGAAGGGAATTCCAATGGTGGTTGAAAAATTCCCCACAGCCCCTTAAAAGGATGGGTGGATCTCGGAAAGTGGTGTAATTGAGTAGAGGTCAGCTATTTCTAAAGAATAGGTATTTAACAGAACTGAGACAATTAGCCAGAATACAAAGCTCAAGGTCCAATGATAATGATGATCCTGAGATGGAGTTGATTTGTCCAAGGAAGTAACTCTTGCCAACTTGCATTTTGAATATTTCCCCATGAAAAGTAATTAGTCATCATTAGGAATGTATAATAAAGTGCCTCAGTGTGTGGTCTATCTTTGAGGGAAGGATGGAGAATTAAAAGTGTATATTCCTAAAGAAAATCTAGGAGTGGGGCACCTGGTTGGCTCAGTCAGAAGACCATGCGACTCTTGATCTTGGGGTCGTGACTTTGAGCCCTACGTTGGGTGTAGAGATTACTAAAAAAAATAAATAAAAAATAAAATCTAGGAGCAAAAGCATATGCCCTAAATTGTTGAATTGACCTCAGGGGTTGGAACCCATGGAATAAATTCAGAAGTCTACCAGATTTCCTAGGGGATTAAAAATGTTTCATAGGAACTTGGAATTCAAACTTGAGTCACTACGTGGGATGTAGAGTTGTGTTACATGGGAATAAAAATGACTTTTTTTTTCTCAAGGGAAAATGATGGATGTGGAAAAATGTGGCATCCGAGATAGGATCTCAAAGAAACAAAATGGTAAGAATATTAGCAGGGGTTAGGAAGTTGAAAGTTTTAAAAAGAAAAAAAAGTTAAAGTAATAAAAAGGAGAAAGCTATCAACCATAATCTCTCCTCACTTTGAAAGAATGCTGGCTCTTGGAGCTACTGACCCCTCTTTGCCTCACAATTCTAATATAAGAACTCTCCCCATAGTCCAAGGAGATTTAGAGATGGCCCTGGAGTGTAGAGTCGTGAGCATCTTTGGGGATGGGGGAGGAAACATCTTCTCTCTGCTAGATTTATAGCTCTGCATCCTAACAGCTCCCTGCAAAAGGGGACTAAGTTGACATGTGGGTGAGTAACGTAGATAGAGAGAGAGAGAGAGAGAGATAAAACTTGAGTAGCAGGCACTATGTTAACTGCTTCATATGCAGTGCCTCGTTTAATCTCCCCCCAACAAAATCAAAGAGATAAATACTAGGATATTTCCCATCTTACAGTAGAAAAAAACCAGAGAGTCAAGAAAATATATATCAAATTGCCCAAGGACTCATACCTGAGAGAAATCAGGCTTTGGAGCCCACTAGCCTGACTATAGAACTTTACTCTTAACTTACCACTTAAATTCATTTCACCAAAAATGTGTTCCTTTATAAGAGGTGAGAAAGACTTTACCCACCTGACTGAACTAAGAAGAAAGTTATATTAAGATTTCTAATTCTTTTTAATGCAGTTAGAAACCAAACTTCACAACAAGCCCTAATTTAAAGTAATCTAAGTAGTTTGGATGAGCTCAGGCAGGTTTCGTTATGTGGTCAATTCCATTCAACTGTTTTATAAAACTAAATAGTGAATGTTGTTTGGAGTATCCTAGGGTGACCAACCATCTCTCTTGATTTGCCCATAATTAAGGGGTTTTTCAGAACATGGGACTTTCGGTTTTAAAACCAGAACAAACCCGGGCAAACCAGATGGTTGGTTACACTTTATTACATAAAGATAATTTGACCTAAATATAATCTGCGTCTCTCTCATTGCAAATATACTCTGTCATCTAGCAAATATGAGTTATGTTTGTCATTATCATTCTCCAGATATACAATTTGAAGAGACATAAACCAGCATTGAAACTGCTGATCTTAAAGCAGGGATTCTCAGCCTGTGGTCTGAGTTTGGCAGAGCTACACATGACCAGAGCAGTGCAGTGGGCCAGGCAAGCTGCAGATGCTGTAGGACTGACCAGATCCAATCACTCGGCAGTGGAAGCTGGGAGAGAAGAGAACAAAGCAAGAAGGAGCAGAGCGGGTAGCCTGCAAGGAGACCTTGGTACTTCAGAATGACTGGGAGACCCATGGGCGCCTCCGGGACAGAGGAGGGCTGCTTCTGAAAGATGAGCCCCCACACAAATTGTCCATCGCTCATCCTAGGAAAACAAGTTGAGATTCCCTGATGTAATGGTCAGTTCCTGCAGAAGTGCCCTTTGCCTTCACTCAACGTCGCTGTTTGTCGTCTGTATGACTGAGAGTCCCAGTGTTGCAACAGTATTTAAGTATGTTATTTCTATTTATTTTGAGTCTTTGGAGTCTTGTCACGTGAGTGTGGTTGTGCATGATTTCTTTGGAAGATATATTGTAGAAGAAGTTAAAATTTTGTCACAAAACTAAACTTACTGCTTAGTGAATTGTGCATGTTCAATAAAATGTGTAGTACTTATAAGGTACTTATAAGGTCCTTGGTACCCTCCACAGCCACCAGGACATAGGAAGCATAGAGAACAGGCCCGTGGTTTGTATAGGATATTACCTTGTTTAACCCACCAGTACTTTCTTTGCCTTGAATAATCTTATTCTCAGACCCTACGGTAAGATATGTTACTGCAGTATCTGTTCCATTTTAAGTATCCGTGTTAACAACGATGTGGTATCCTACACACAGAATCTCATTTAATGCCTAGGATAGCTGTGTTGTGGTAAGCACTCTTTTCAAACCCATTTCACAGCTGAGGGAGCAGAGAGCTAAAGTAACTTGCCTGAGTCAGTAAGTAGCAGACCTCAGATTTCCACAGCTGTCACCCACAGTCCTTTTAGAATAAAGTCTAGAGCTGTGTTTTGCTTTAAGAAATTCATTCAGAAAACATGTAGGAAGCACCCATGTCAGTGTGCCAGGCAGTGATTGAGCAAGACAAAGAACCTCTCTTCCAGGAGCTCATAGTATCATGGGGAGATTGATAAGGAAATTCATTATTACAGTTCAGTGCAGTGTCATAGCATAAGGTGTTGGAGGAGAATGACGACGTGAACAGGAGAGTCTAGAAAGGCTGCCAAAAGGAGGGCATGCCCTGGACAGCCCGGCAGTGTGTTCCCTGGAAGGTGAAAATACATTTTAATCAAAGTGATTTTAGTTTATGAGGGTAAGTCAGTATTTTTAAAAATTGTGGAAGATAACTCTTGAGTTCCTTTTCTATCATTATATTTGTGTCTGATTTATTTGCCTTTGCCATGCAATCTGATGCTTATGTGTATGGTGTTGGTATTGTTCAGCAGTTCTCTCTTTTTTTATTTAAGTGCTGCTAAAGTTTGAATTCAAAGCTTTCCATGATTCAAAATTCAGAAGGTCCAAGAGGAGACATTAAAAAGTCCCCATTCCATCCTCCTAGCCATCGGATTTCCTTCCCAGAAGCAGCCACTCTTGTCTTTTGTTCTTGTAGTCTTCTAAAGATAGTCTATGAATATATGTAGATATATAAAGTATATTTTTTATTCACATAAGTGGTAATACACTATTCGCCTGCTGTGCACTTTGCTATTTTTATTTAATGTATTATTTCTTACCGGACCATTGGAACAAATGTAAAGTTCCCAGGGGCCAGGCACTGTGCCTTATTTCTAGATCAGCATTTCCATAGCCTGTTAGTATCTTTTATAAGACTTAGTACATGCTAAATATGTACTTCATCGATGCTTGGACAACGAGCATTTGTTGACTTACTGCTCTATGACTGAGTTTGGATTTGGTTTATTTTGCATTTCCCAAAGCGAGACCGTTGGGTTCTCCAGGGTACACTGGCTCAGCCTAGTCCTAAAGGTTGACTTTATTACTAATTCTGCATGACAGAATCATGTCTGGAACTTGTGTTTTTTCCTACCTGTTTTCTCTTGAGTAAAAGAACTAGGCTTTGATATTGCAGTTGCAAAAAGACAGGGATGGGTTTTTTGTTTTTGTTTTTTTGGAAATTCCAGTAATGTACCTTGACTCTCGCCTCTGCTAGAAAAGGCCATGAGCTGTGCCTGAACCCCTTAGTCAGACCAGTTCTCATCACTACATAGATCTAAGGTGTTGCATTTCAAAGGCTTTGAGGTTCCCATGCCTCCCAGCGTATTCCTGCTCTCTTGGCCGTTTACCTGGATTATCGACAAAGAAAACCTTTGTTTTGCCGCATGTCAAGGCTGAAGAAACAGAATCTCCAACAGAAGTCTTTCTGTTGTCTTTTCACACATGTTCGTCTGTACGGCATCCCTTGTTTGTGTGACGTATAAGGAGCATTCTGGCTGAGCGGGAATACAGTCTATTCACTCCATTCCTAAATGTCAATGCCCTCTTACGGTGTTGGATTTGTAAGGCACTTTATCTCCTTGTCTTGTGTTTCACTCTAAAGGACATGCAGAGAGGATATTTTGTTCTGCATTTTAATTGTCATTGTTTACACCTGCATTAATTTAATAAAATATTCTTATTTATTTTGTTCCTTGGTGCACCAGCATGTCCACTGTCTTGTTTTCTAGGCTTTATAAAACCACACCCAGTTTAATGTCCCAGTGGAAAAAGTTACTGGGAATATCTGCAGCTACCTTCCTAGTTCTTTACTTCATGGTTGCTGTTTATGCAACTTACTCTTAGTTCTGTGCGTTGAAAAATCCCGAAAAAAGTATTTTCTTCCCAAAGAATGTATTGAAAACTTTCCTTCCCCTCTTACTCTGTAGCTTCTTTTAAGACAATACCAAGAAAAGAGTCGAAATTGTGTTGTACAAATCGGAGATCTGAAGGAGGGAGGGTAAGAGAGAAGGAGTGGTCCCCAAGACAGCTCTGAGGCAACAAAGGGGCTTTCCTCTCAGAGAGGACTGTTCTTGGGTCGGTAAGCGTGGATATGCAAGCCGATGCCTATCAAGCTGGATGTATTCCAGTCTTCACATTCTGAAAAGGAAGTAAGATGTCTAGCATGAAGTCAAGGAGAGCATTAAAGCCTGGTCTCGGGTGGGACCATACAAAGACGTGTGGTTTTAAGACAAACATGACAACATTTACCATTCAAGGAAGTGTAGGACTCTTAATTGCTGAGTCATCAAGCTCACTTTAAAGAGACTTGTGATCATGTCTCTGAATCAGACACTCAAAAGGTGATGATGACTCTTCCTAAGAATATATGTTGGATTCTAGATGTTTTTAAAGAAAGAGTATCAGTATCTTTGTAGAAAAGATACTGCCTAACTGAAGACATGCTACATATATTCAAGAAGAATTAAGTAATAATTCAAGTGCTAGGGAATATGAGAGTTTAAGGAAAATGTCTCAGGACAGTGAGAAGAGAGGACAGCAAATGTTATAAAGTAGGGGAAGGAGGAAATCCCAGGTGCTAGGAGACTCACCAATGAGGCCAGATTCAGCGTGGACCTGGGGGAATGGAGAAGACACCTACCTCTGATGGTGTGTGTTTTTAGTCCATGCAGGCTGCTATAACAAACTACCACAGAGCAGGTGGCTTATAAACAACAAATTTATTTCTGACCTTTCCGGGGACTGGGAAGTCCAAGATCAAGGTGCCACCATGGTTGTATTCTGGTCAGGATCCTCCTCCTGGTTTGTAACTGGCACCTCCGAGCTGTGTCCTCCCATGGCGAAAGGGCAAGGGATCTCTGTGGGGTCTCTTTCATAGGAACACTAATCCCATTCATGAGAGCTTCACCCTCGTAATATAAGAACCTTCCAAAGGCCCTATCATCTTAATACCATCATCTTTGGGGGTTAGGATTTCAGGATGTGAATTTGGGGCAGGGGGACACAAACATTGAGACCATAGCATGTGGAGAGCAGCTTTTGAAATCATATTTATTGGGGCGCCTGGGTGGCTCAGTCGTTAAGCGTCTGCCTTCGGCCCGGGTCATGATCCCGGGGTCCTGGGAGCGAGCCCCGCATCGGGCTCCCTGCTCAGCGGGGAGCCTGCTTCTCCTCTCCCACTCCCCCTGCTTGTGTTCCCTCTCTTGCTGTGTCTCTCTCTGTCAAATAAATGAATAAAATCTTTTAAAAAAATCATTTATTTATATTTATTACGGGGTAAATGTAATGATAGAAGAAAATCTGTGATCCCTTACATTTTAGTGAAAATGTAAATTGGTGCAACCTCTGAAAAGAATAATTTGACGATATCTATCAAAACTATACATGATCCAGGAATTCCACTTACAGAAATTTACCCTACAGTTATAGTCTCACATGTGAAAAAGGACATATGTGTAAGGATTTTCATTGCAGCTTTGTTTATAATAGCAAAACACTGGAAATAACCCAAATGTCCATCAGTAGGGAACTGGTTAAATGAATGGGGTGGCAGAATCCAAACAAGAGAATACTATATTAGACAGCTACATAAACAGATAAGGAACTTCCTTCAGTACTGATATGAAACAGATCTCTGAGATACATTTATTGTTAAATTAAAAAAGAAGGTATAGGAGAGTGCAGTATGTTCACTTTGCACATTATATCAATAATGTATACAACGTTTAAACTATGGACACTTTGCTCGCTAGGTACTTCGTATGTATAAAATGTATACTTAATTTGTATATTATATATATATATAGTATATTATATCCTTCCAGATATAAATTTTGCATTCTTGAAAGGGAAAAAATGTAGATACACATTTGCTTGTACATGCAAAAAATGTGTATCTGAAAGGATGCATAAGATGATGGGTTTTTTTTGAGATTTTATTTATTTATTTGACAGAGAGCACGAGCAGTGGGGAGGGGCAGAGGGAGAAGCAGACTCTCTACTGAGCAGGGAGCTCAATGTGGGACTCAGTCCCAGGACCCTGAGATCATGACCTGGCCCGAAGGCTGACACTTAACTGACTGAGCCACCCAGGTACCCACACAAGAAGCTATTTAGACTGGTTGCTTTTGGAGTGGCATATTGGGTTCCTAGTAGGAGACTTTTATTGGTAGGACCTTTTGACTTTTGAATCCTGTGAACATGTTACCTATTCCAAATAAATTACAGTTTTTAAAGTCTGAGCACAATTATTTGCCTTCCAGGAACTTTCAACTGCTTGTAAAGAAATGATAACTCATTAATGTATAAGACCAAATATAAACATCAGAGGTGAGGGAGTTTAAACAACTAAATTCAACCACCCCTGGATTTTTAATGTGGACTTGAACTCAACTGGACTGAATTATTTTCTTTCATTTACCTTTTCCCTATTTTTTACTGGTTTCACTCCCAGTATAGCCTCAACTATGGGGAAGCATGATCAGTTTATTTATAGACTCTGATTTATGCACTGTGGATTTGGATTCACATGATAATAAATGATACTATTATAAAAAATGAAGAGACCAAATCAACTCTTGTTTATGGTGCCATAGATACAAAATATGCTTCCGTAGATATGAAATAATGAAAACATTTGGACCTTGGGGAAACTTGC